TAGGGACAAAAAAACAAGAATATATATGGGGCAAAAAAGCAAGGATATATCAGGGAAAAAAAGGATATATCAGTGGCAAAATAACAAGGATATATCAAAGACAAAATAACAAGGATATATCAGAGAAAAAAAGGATATATCAGTGGCAAAATAACAAGTATATATCAGGGAAAAAAGGATAAATCTGTGGAAAAATAACAAGGATATATCAGGGACAAATAACAAGGATGTGCCAGGAACAAAATAACAAGGATATATCAGGGACAAAATAACAAGGATATATCAGGGACAAATAACAAGGATATATCAGGGACAAATAACAAGGATTTATCAGAGACAAATAACAAGGATATATCAGGGACAAATAACAAGGATACATCAGGAACAAATAACAAGGATATATCAGAGACAAAATAACAAGGATATATCAGGGACAAAATAGCAAGGATATATTAGGGACAAAATAACAAGGATATACCAGGAATAAATTAACAAGGATATATCAGAGACAAAATAACAAGGATATATCAGGGACAAATAACAAGGATATATCAGAGACAATATAACAAGGATATATTAGGGACAAAATAACACAGATATCCTAGGGACAAATAACAAGGATAAACCAGGGACAAATAACAGGATATATCAGGGGGAAAAACAAGGATATAGCAGGGGGAAAATAAAAAGGATGTATCAGGGGGAAAACAAGGATATATCAGAGACAAAATAACAAGGATATAACAGTGGCAAAATAACAAGGATGTGTCAGGGACAAAATAACAAGGATATATTAGGGACAAATAACAAGGATATATCAGGGGGAAAAAACAAGGATATATCAGAGACAAATAACAAGGATATATAAGGGACAAGATAACAAGGATATATCAGAGACAAATAACAATGATATATCAGGGACAAGATAACAAGGATATATCAGAGACAAATAACAAGGATGTATAAGGGACAAATTACAAGGATACATCAGGGACAAATAAAAAGGAAATATAAGGGACAAAATAACAGTGATATATCAGGGAAAAAAACACGTATATATCAGGGGAAAAAACAAGGATATAACAGTGGCAAAATAACAAGGATGTATCAGGGATAAAATAACAAGGATATACCAGAGACAAAATAACAAAGATATATCAGGGACAAAATAACAAGGATATATTAGGGGGAAAAACAAGGATATATTAGGGAAAAAATACAAGATTTCAAACTTCAAGAAAAAAAATGTTAACCATGGAATGCTTTGTGGTCCCTTCCTTGTTATGAATGCTCCATGGTCCTCCGTAGTATAGTTTAGTATAAGTTTTATACAACTTTATACATGAATTTTAATCTATAGTAGCAGTTTATGTACAAGGAACAAGTTTAAATATAACTGTGGATGGGGACTGGGACGGGGGGAGTAGTTTTATTTTATCTTATATCTTTTCACAATCATATGTTCTTTATATGCAGAATTTGGTTAAAACTACATCAAACATCTTTTTAACCTATAAAAATTGCGAAATTTCCTTTTTACAGATATATATAACCATTTTTGAAGATATATAACAGTTTTGAAGAGGTAAGAATAAAATGTAACGTTTGCAAAATGTTTCAAATACAATCTTTCGACTAAAAAGGAATTGAGTCTTTGCCACAAACTCTGATTTTCTAATCTCAATATCTTTGCATCCCATGGTAGAATACCTTAGATATTTCAAACTATAATTTCTGTAATATCAGATAATCTACCTTTGAAATATCAACGGTTTACATCATCAGATTTAAAAAATAAAGGGATTGAAAAATTCGAGTTTGTGGCAAAGACTCGATTCCTAAAAAGGTATAGAAAAGGCTAAACAAGCACTTTTCGATTTTCATAGATTTTACTAAAAAGTTAGATCAATTCTGAACTCCCTGGTTATGTTTAAACCTCTCTAGATCTATTTCTCAACTCCCTGGTTATGTGTAAACCTCTCTAGATCTATTTCTCAACTCCCTGGTTATGTGTAAACCTCTCTAGATCTATTTCTCAACTCCCTGGTTATGTGTAAACCTCTCTAGATCTATGTCTGAACTCCCTGGTTATGTGTAAACCTCTCTAGATCTATTTCTGAACTCCCTGGTTATGTGTNTAAATGTTCTGAATTAAATATCAGTTCTACAAATTCTCTCGTCGAGATCAACGTGAACCAGCGTAAGAGATCGTCGAGAACCACGTGAACCAGCGTAAGAGATCGTCGAGATCAACGTGAACCAGCGTAAGAGATCGTCAAGATCAACGTGAACCAGCGTAAAAGATCGTCGAGATCAACGTGAACCAGCGTAAGAGATCGTCGAGAACCACGTGAACCAGTACAAGAGATCGTCGAGATCAACGTGAACCAGCGTAAGAGATCGTCGAGATCAACATGAACCAGCGTAAGAGATCGTAATTTTTGTTCTTTGCTCTATATCTTTGCAACCTAATGTTTTAGAACTAAGACATTTCAACCTGTGGATTCTGTCAGAGCAAATAATCTAATTTTGAAATATCAAAGGTTTACATCATAAGGTTGTAAAGAATAGGGATTAGAAAATTTAAGTTTGTGGCAAAGACTAAAATTTGTTATACAAGGAATACTACAATCTACTACTAGACATAAAATGCTAAATTACTGGTCCGACTTTTTAGTTTAGAAATTTAAAACTATCAGTGACTATTCAAAAAGAGGAAATTCAATTTTATACCACATGTAAGATATTAATCTATTATCAAATCTTTTATATTCGCGTGAAACTGTAATAAATTGAAATACTTCATGTTTTAATCATAATTCCTTTTATTAAAAGGAGTTTAGAAGACAAAAAGTTTTGAATTTCTAATATATTACATAATAAATTAGCTTTTTTTCGCACTTCTGCTTAAAATAAAAACTAGAGAAGCTGTCAGGTCACAAAATTGTAATAGAAATATCACATAAAGGATTTTAGTCTTTTCCACAAACTCAAATTTTCTAGTCCCTATATCTTTGCAACTCAATGCCGTAGACCTTAGATATTTCAAACTATGAATTCTGGTAGATCGATCAAATAATCTAAGTTTGAAATATCAAAGGTTTGCACTATCAAGTTGATAAGATAAAAGGATTAGAAAATTGGAGTTTGTGACAAAGACTCAAGTTCTTTGACCTTCTCCCGCGGAGTCTCGTTCTTTTCTATCCTTTCAAACCAACCCACGCGCATATGCTTTATTAAGTAGTTCTGGATTTTAATACTGCATGTTAAGTGCTTATTTTTTAAAAGCGTTAACTTTATATAAGCATTTTTTTTTGCGTCGGAATACACATATTTTAGTTAAAAGTGACTGGGGTTTATCTGTTTTATTTGTGTCTGTTTACTGTAGGGTTTCGTCCAATCTCTTTCGCGAAAAAATCATTCAAAAGGAGTTAAGTTTTTGCCACAAAGTCTGATTTTCTAATCTCTGTATCTTTGTAACTCAATGGAGTAGACCTTAGAAATTTCAAACTATTAATACTTATAGATAAAAAAAAATCTAAGCTTAAAATATCAAAGGTTTGCATCAAAAGATTGCAAAGATATTGAAATCAGAATATTTTAGTTTGTGGGAAAAACTCGATTCCTATGTTTGAAATTTTCGCGAAATTCGCTCGAAATTTTCAACCTTTTTTTCAAAATTAATTTTTTTTTGCAAAAATACAATCTTCTTGAACAATTTCAATTCTTATCGAACTTCAAAAACGAAACGAAAACTTCGCGAAAATGAGATAAAAAATTTCGTCAAAATTCATCTAAATTCGCGAAAATTTTGAAGAAAATGAACGAACCGGAATTTCGATGGAAACCCTAGTCTACTGTTACCAATCTCAAGATGGAAGAAATTAAATTTCCACTAATAAATAGATAAATATATATATATATATTTATATATATACTAGGGTCAAGATTTAGTAGTATACTAGAACCAGATTAATATTTATTTCCCAACCTAACAGATACAATTTATAGGACCCGTAGAAAGTACAAAACTTGGCTTGGCGGCTCAAATTTAAGTTATTAAAGATTCAAACAAAATTCATTAACCAGTCAAATAGGCGAAAATGTCTGAGGTACCTGGATTCCATAGGAAACCAAAAACTTTACCGCGCTTTAATTTAATTTAAATTCCCTTTTACCTTAACTTTAGAAAACTATAGTTTTACTAGGCTAAAGTAAATTTATCTATTTAATGACTAATTATAGGTAACAAAACAAAATTGATTTTCTCATTCTTGTGTTTTTCTAATTCCCTTAGCTTTAAACCCTAAAGGAACCTTTAATATTTCAAATGTTCGTTAAATATTTGATCTTGCAGAATTCATAGTATGTTACAACAAGGAAAAATTGAGTTTGAGGCAAGAGTTTAATTCCTTTGACTTAGTAGCTTATGTCTGGATTAGAGTGATTAAAACTGTTTTTTTTCTAATAAATACAATATTTCTGTCAACAATCATGACTGTTATAAAAAGTTTTTGAATTTACCAAGAAATTTGGAGTCATAAGATTCATGTATATTATTTATTACTGAAATTCATGGTTTTTATTTTTAGGAGTATATTTCTCAGAAAGGATTTGAGTTTTTACCATTTAACTCATATTTTCTAATTTCTATATCTTTACAAATGCGATGATGCTAAACCTTTGATATTTCAAACAGAATCTAACAGAATTCATTTAAATTGAAATGATATTTGGTTGAAAAGACAGGGATTAGAAAATAAGAGTTTTTGGCAAGGACTTAATTCCTTTACATATTGGAGTAATTTAAATTATAAAAATTAAAAGAATGTGGAAGACGACGCCTGGCCGCGTTAAACAAGTTCCACAAGATTCAACAGAATGAGATAGAACAGATATACTGGGCATGGTACTGTTTAACATCTACACGTGTGATATCGATATTGACTCTAGTTCTGAACCCTCTAGTAATAAGTTATAAGAAATATATATACTGGAAGTTATTTATGAGTTTTCATTAGAGTCTGACTCACGTCCTCTATAAGAAGATGATTATTTTAAATCTTATTCTGTGCAGGTTTCACCAAACTTTACACTTGCTTACTGGATTCATAGGAGAGTCTTTTGGGCAGCCCCAAGCCTCAGAGAACTCAGGAATATTTTTAAAAGATCCATTCACACGAAACTTTTCTGGCGCATGTGGATCAAAGATAATACCACCTTTTATTCTTTCTAAAGTTGATTTACTGCACCAAACAGAAGCACCTGAGAGCCAGAACAGTTGAGAAGGGTTGTAGGGTAATCCAGGTAACCCCTTTTCTTCCCCTGTATTTTTAGCAAGCCGGTTGTATGCTCTGAAGGCCTGTAAGTAGCCACTTCTGTCTGCAATATTTTCTCCCAGGGTGATGACACCATTGACCTTCAGCACTTCACCCTTCACCTCAACAGTAAAGTTAGAATACTGATCAATCATGCACTGAGTTCGATTCTTGAACTTGTTCAGTGTTTCTGGTGCCCACCAGTTAATAACTCTACCGTCCCCATCTCTTTGACTTCCTACATCATCGAAGCCATGAGTAATTTCATGCCCAACTATTGACCCCAACGCCCCATAATTCATGAAATGAGGTCGATCTGCTTGGAAAAAGACACCATCAATAATGCCAGCTGGTATTTGAATCGAATTCTGAGAGTAGAACGCATCAACAATGGCAGAAGCACTTTTAGTTTTCCAGCTGGGTTCATCAGAAGGTTTCCTAAATTCCTTGGCTGCATAATCATAGCTAAACCTTTTCATCTTTAAGTAGTTTTCAAGAAAACTTGATGAGGAAAGTACAAAATCTTTATAAAACTTGTCGAGAATATTATTGTCCAAAATCTCCTCACTGTATCCAATAAAAGACTTCATTCTATCAACTTTCAATTGAGCTTTCACCTTCGTACCAACATCCATCCAGTCTAACTCATCAAGCATATGCTTAAACTCAGTCTTGATATTGCCAACTATATATTCTGCTAGTAGTTTACTGCTCTTAGTGAAGTATTTCCTGACATACATAGCTCCTACTGGAACTGCAAAAGATCCTACAGTTGCATAAGAGTCATCTCCAGTGGCATAATAGTCATTTCCTGAAGCATAGTATACGCATGTTTCCCAACCTTGAGATTCCTCCAGAAAAGGGCAGAGATTTACGTATAATTCTCAACATCAGGTAATTTGCTTGAATTCTGGCAGGCACACTTTGCATTAAAGCTGATAGTTGTCTCATATAGTTAGGTACAGCAATGTTGATCACTTCACTAGAATTCATAGTGATGTCGGAATGGTTTAAGAAGTTATTTAAGTAACTGGTCAAATTGATTGATGGATACAACTTGTTGGCTTCTGAGACACTCATCAAATTGACTAAGGTAGAAATGTGTGTAGAAGATAGATATAGTGTTCATATATGAACTATAAATCAACATGTGTGTAGAATATATATATAGTTTTCATATATCAACTATATATCAACATGTGTGTAGAATATAAATATAGTTTTCATATATCAACTATATTTCAACATGTGTGTAGAAGATAGATATAGTTTTCATATATCAACTATATATCAACATGTGTGTAGAATATATATATATATAGTTTTCATATATCAACTATATATCAACATGTGTGTAGAATATAGATATAGTTTTCATATATCAACTATATATCAACATGTGTGTAGAATATAGATATAGTTTTCATATATCAACTATATATCAACATGTGTGTAGAATATAGATATAGTATTCATATATCAACTATATATCACCAACATGTGTGTAGAAGATAGATATAGTTTTCATATATCAACTAAATATCAACATGTGTGTAGAATATAGATATAGTTTTCATATATCAACTAAATATCAACATGTGTGTAGAATATAGATATAGTATTCATATATCAACTATATATCACCAACATGTGTGTAGAATATACATATAGTTTTCATATATCAACTAAATATCAACATGTGTGTAGAATATAGATATAGTTTTCATATATCAACTATATATCAAAATGTGTGTAGAATATAAATATAGTTTTCATATATCAACTATATATCAACATGTGTGTAGAAGATAGATATAGTTTTCTCGTCTACAGATTGTAAAATGAATATTTTATGATCATATGATAGAAAGATATATCCAATATCAGCATCAAACAATAGCTTTATAAATATGTAATCTTTAGAAACTTTAGTTTATTGCAAAGTTGTGGATGGATATACACAGGATGAAGTGTTGACGCGGACCGCCTGCTAATGTAGCCCGGAAGAGATTTACTAATTTGACAGCAATATATTGCTTACTTTAGAGATAATCAATCAATTGAGTTGAATATTTTGGGGTTATCATATAATAATAATAATGATAATAATAACAACTAGTGACGTGCCTGGCGTTGTCCGTGGAATTTCAAAAACACTTTGAAACGTTTTACCGTATACTTTGTTTAATGAAAACGTTTATTAAAAAAGAATAATGGGAAAGCTGAAAAGAAAAAGAAAATTAATGAAAGGGGATTGTTTTAGGCGGTCACTTTTATCTCTCACTGTAGAGAAACATGTACATCCTGCATATTTCCAAGAAAAAACGTATTTTCAAGAAAAAAATAACTTTCATGAACTTTTGTATTGCACTCTATTAAATAGAATAGTTGGATTTGAATATTAAATTGATTGTAATCTGCTCGTTCACTTGAATCCTTGTATAAAAATATTCTCGTTCTAGGGCCGGTTGTCGCAAACATTTATCATAGTTCCAACCAAGCCAAGAACCAGGCTTCAGACAACTTTTAGAAATAAATTTAAATTAGATTTTATCCTAAAGAATTAGATTTAGGGAATTTTTGAAAATAATAGTTTTACTTTTTTTCAACAAACTCTGCCTTTTTTGTTTGTTTTTAACCTATCTTTGTAATATATCTAGTGGTGCAATGCATCTTTATGATTTATCACTATGATATATCAGTATAACGTATCAGTATGATGTATCAGTATGATGTATCAGTATGATGTATCAGTATGATGTATCAGTATGATGTATCAGTATGATGTATCAGTATGATGTATCAGTATGATGTATCAGTATGATGTATCAGTATGATGTATCAGTATGATGTATCAGTATGATATATCAGTATGATGTATTAGTATAACGTATCAGTATGATGTATCACTATGCTATATCATTATGATGTATCAGTATAACATATCAGTATGATGTATCAGTATGATGTATTAGTATGATGTATCAGTATGATGTATCTGTATGATGTATCAGTATAACGTATCAGTATGATGTATCAGTATGATATATCAGTATGATGTATCAGTATAAAGTATCAGTATGATGTATCAGTTTGTATATCAGTATAATGTATCAGTATGATGTATCAGTATGATGTATCAGTATAACGTATCAGTATGATGTATCATTATAATGTATAAGTATGATGTATTAGTATGTTGTATCAGTATGATGTATCAGTATGATGTATAAGTATGATGTATCAGTATGATGTATCAGTATGATGTTTGAGTATGATGTACCAGAATGATGTATCAGTATGATTTATCTGTATGCTTGTAATAAATATAGTAATAACTCTAATTTATATGTCTTGTATATATAAATTTGTTCGTTAATTTCTGAACAGACCTATCAGTTCATACTATTGACTTTCAATACTATTAAACCCAAAGTATAGATTATTTGGATATGAACTCTGTCTTTTTACGGACAGACGTATTAGTTCTCGGTAGAAAGGATAGAATTCGAGAGCGAGTTGTATCTGTATTGATTCATACTTAAGAACACAGAGAGATTTTGTATCTGTATTGATACAGACTAAAGTATTATCGGAGAGTATAGAGTTAGAGAGCAAGTTGTATATGGATTGATACATACTTAAGAATACAGGGAGAGGTTTATCTTGATTGATACATACTTAAAGTATTTTTGGAGTAAGGCATATAGTACATGCTGTATCTGTATGATATATCTTTATGATGTATTTGTATCTGTATCTGTATCTGTATCTGTATCTGTATCTGTATTTGTATCTGTATCTGTAACTGTATCTGTATTTGTATTTGTAAATTTGTATCTGTATTTGTATTTGTATCTGTATCTGTATCTGTATCTGTATCTGTATCTGTATCTGAATCTGTATCTGTATCTGTATCTGTATCTTTATCTGTATATGTATCTGTATCAGTATCTGTATCTGTATCTGTATATGTATCTGTATCTGTATCTGTATCTGTATCTGTATCTGTATCTGTATCTGTATCTGTATCTGTATCTGTATCTGTATCTGTATCTGTATCTGTATCTGTATCTGTATCTGTATCTGTATCTGTATCTGTATCTGTATCTGTATCTGTACCTGTACCTGTATTTGTATCTGTATCTACTGAACAATTCTCTAATGTAAAGGAAAGTATTCTGTCACGAAGTCTAAAAGCCCAATTTATTATTTCTGTTGTTTGGAACTAACTCCTCTAACTTCACTTTATATATACGGTAAATCCCCTGATGCCCCCCTCCCAACCCCTCCAGAGGCCGAATTTAAAGAATTTGAACAGCGGTTTAAATTTAAGCCGCGACTCAAATTTTGTTGGTTTCACTTAAAATTGTATTAAATTTTTCCAGATTTAAGCCGGCGCTCAATTTAAACCGGTATTTGGGGGATTTTAGACGCGGTTAAATTCATTAAATTCGGACACCGAACGATAAATCCCCTCCCCCTTTTAGGATATCCCGTTATGAGTTAATACCCACTACCCCTTTTTTACACGATTTAATCCTATTGTCCCCCTTTCAAGTTTATGTTTTTACTTTACTGCTTAACATTTTAACATTTTTTATATACAATAAATAGTAATATGAGATAATATAATTGATAATATAAATGCTAAATAGATAAATTGTTCAAGAATCTAATAAATGGCACATAACTAAAACGCTCAACAGTCAAAACCAAGAGATGGTAATGAGAAAAACTCTCAAAACAATTTAATGCCAATTAGATAAAACGCTTAAGACTAATAATGCTGTAAAAAAACGCTTAACTATTTAATGCCAATCAGCTAAAACGCTGAAATCTATGAATTGGTAGAACAGAATTGCAGTATATTCTTAGCTTATGATGTATCGAAAAAAAATCCTCTCTGTTTTTTCTTGTTTTTGATCCTTTTTAATTCTCCTCTACTCTTCTCTCTCCTTTCTTAGCTTCCCATTGAGCTCTGCAATAATGTGGTAGGACGAGAAGAACTGGGGGTTGAAAGGATAATTAAACTTAAATAGAACCTGATCCAACCTTGCCAAATATAATAGACAAGAAGGGGAGAAGGATTCCACACTCTGCAGTTCGTAACAATTACAAAAGAATGGTGAATTAGTCTTATATTTATCAAAAAATAATCTTACTGTTGAATTGAGTTCAAAAAGAATGGTATTACGACACAAATATTAGATTTTGAAAAATTTATTGCATGGTTAATTCCAACGAGGTTATAGTGTATAGAGTGATGATGTACGCTAATCCTTTACTAGGCCATCAACTATACCGAAAGCGTACTGTATATTTGTTTATTCTAACGAGATTCTGGCCTAACCTATAGTATATCAATATTAAGTAAACAGTTGTAAGTGTACAGTACAGCTAACTGAGCACACTGGTAGAGAACTATCCCCCCCCCCCTGGTTAGTTTGAACGTAAAAACATATATCTAACAGGTAAACCCAAGAAAAATAAATGCAAAAGCAAAAATTGACTTGATTTGTAGATTATATAACTTTCTGTATAAAAACTACGCTGTAAGGCCTAAGGGCGCTTCGCGCCCATCCTCTATTCCAACTTTAAATTGCAGCTCTTTCTGTGAGCATCTTCTCTTTGTACATTGTACAATGTAAAACAAAAGCAAAAGAAGTTCGCGGATTTAACAATATTTTTTTCGTGCATTTTAAAAATTTTACAAAAAACCCCAATGGTTTTTGAGATACAAATTTCTAAAACTCTGAGCAATCCATAATCCTTCCTTGGGATCATGTGATGTCCCACAAAAAAATTGGACCCGATCGGTTTAGCCGTTTTGACCTTTATCGGTTATAAACAAACAAAACAGACAAGTAAAGTATATATATAAATATGTGCAAACAGCACAGTAATGGTCCTGTTTAGTGCAAGAGTTTTCAAAACGTCTATAAATACTTGCTGTTATATAAACAAATTCACATTTTTGCACAATTGACTCTTTAAATCATGAATTTTGTTGTTTTAATTTTTCTTTTTGAATGTATCTGTAAGATTTATTTCTCAAAGTTTATTACCAAAAACTTGATATTCAAGTCGTGTGCTATGAATAAAAAAACATATTTACCCATAGTTATGAATGAATACTTTGTCAAATGTAATTCTGTACGGTTTTCTTACTGGAACATGTCCCCCCCCCCCCCCNCCCCCCCGCCTGTTAGCAGTGGAAGGAATACCGGTTGTAATTTATTTGGTTCCGTAAGAGAAATATACGCGAGGTTGGGGCCCGGAAGCAGGAACCGGAGAATTTACGAGGTTACTCCCAGCTGTCAAACCCACCAAGATCCTCGGGATATATACAGCTCGGGGTTCAGGATTCTTAACAAGATCCTCGGGATATACTTAGCTCAGTGTTCGGGATTCTTCGCAAGCATTTGCGAGTTATACAGAGGTTGGGAACGGATTGAATTCGATTTGGATTTTTAAGAAACAATTTTGTGAGATTATTATGTCGGATGGTTCGGATATTTCATCCGGGTTTCGGATGACATATCCGAACCAGTCTTGTCTTTGCTCGTACCAGCCTGTCTAGTGTACCCAGTATGGAGTTGAACCAACGCGGTTTAGCAACGATATTAAGCATGGGCTGCTCAAAGTGAGGTTCGGTTTATAAAATATTTACAAATGGAAATACAATGATCGGGGTTTAGGTTTCTAAATGTATTTTTTTTGTTAAAACGAAGCGGTTGGGTTCAGATTGTCTAAACAGAGATCTTTACGATAATCAAAGGAATTAATTGGGTCTTTGCGAAAAACACAAATTTCCTAATCCCTGTAGTTTTGAAACTCAATGTCGTAGACCTTAGATATTTCAAACTATAAATTATGCTAAATCGAATAATCTAAGTTAGAAATATCAGGTTGCAATTAAATAGGGATTAGAACATTTGTAATTTATATTGTGGTGAAGACTCAATGTCTTTAACAGATATTTTTAAGATATGTAGAAAATAATGAAATTACAGAGGAGCTTGACTTTCTGGATTTTTAAAAGATGTTTCATAACTCACATGTTAGATTTGAAATTACAATGTCTTTTAACATTTAATGTCAGGTCTAATAAAATAATTCTCTTAAAATCTGAACCTTTCCTTACTCTATTCCATGCAATATAGGATTAATGAAACTGTGGAATAGGATACAAGACTGTTAGACGAGGGGAGGAAGGCCAGCAACAACAATATCTAGTCCAGGCCACATTCTCCTCATTTTCTTGTCCGAGCCACCTAGAAATCCTTGTCCTTCCAATATCATTTTTTAAAGTGTCCGATCCTTAAAATAAAAAAAAATTAAAATCTGGCAACGTTAGAGCACAAAGCATGGCTAAAAACAGTTTTGAAATTATTTCAAGGTGTTAGAATGTTCAAATCCATTAAAACTTGAATCTCTTCTGCCTCCGAAATGGCTAATTTTACAAATAAAATTTTACATTAAGGAATTTGCTTAATTTGATTTTATATAGTTACAGGAATTTGAAAGACAGCAATTGTGAAGTACAGTACAGTGTACACAGGCCCATTTTAATTTTGAAAATTGTTGTTATAATTCTCAGTGACGCTCCATTATTATTAGTATTGACATCGGTACCCTGTAATGTCTTATCAATTAAGAACCTGGAAGATATTGTTTTTTTTTGCATTTCTAGTTTTTCTTAGTAATTCTAATAATTTTCTGAACCGGAGATCCTGTCAAGTCATTTTTATAGAGACATGTGGGAGCCTGGGGGGGGGGGTAGTTCTTTGGTCCTAACTCTTTTTTTACTTGTTTGGGATTCCAGATTGTAGTCCCGATGCTCTCTAAGAATGAAAGATATATCTCCCAACTGACCCGGGAATCGAGAACAACCCAAATATTTCATGTTCAACCAATATCACACAAAAAGAAATTTAAATAAATTCAACCAATTCAAAACAAACCGTTTCACAACCATTTATACCGGTCAGGTTTCTCCAGTATAAACCATCATCATCATCTACAAATTCCCGCAATAAATTCTTTAGAGTTTTTACCGAACTCTAGTGAGCAAAGTTAGTATTAATGTGGTCCGCCATTATCTTAAACCTTTGCAGTAATCATTAATAACTCTGGTTCTAGCCTAGAAAACATAGAAATACAAATATAAACAAATACATTACGTAAATTATTTGTTGTACTGCTCTACCGGAAGTAGATAATCATTGGTATTGAAGGAGGTTGAGTACATACAGTGCTTACCAGAAAACAGTAGAATGATTTTCGTCTACTGTCTTTCTTTCAATAAAAATGACTGATTTATTTCTTAAACTGTGCTCTGAACATTTTAAAAAATGTATCACATTAGTTCAATTATAAAGGAACTGTTTTTTGCCTAAAACTTAAATTTTCTAATCCCAATATTTTTGCAACCAGAGTCTAAAACTAAAGAATGCGCGAAGTTTAAGTTCGAGGTTAAAAGTTGTGTAAAATAATGAATAGCTACTTAAATATTAAACTTTCTCAATTTTAAATTTGAATTTCCCGGGAAAATCTGAACCAATCAGAGAAAAGGATTTACGGAGAATATTACATAACCATCGCTAATCAGCTGTTCTTACGTAACCGAAAACAAAACATACAACCGTTTTTTGGGTTTACATGCAAAAATTAATTTATCTAAAACGTGAAATTTCTTTAACAAGGTTTTCATTTTTAAATATATCGTAAAGTTGAATGCCGCTTTCTCAGCTGCAGCTGAATGATGATTGAATAATAGACAAATAGGGAAAATGCAGGATTTCAAGATAATTTAAACCTGTGTTTAAATTTTAACTCGTCGATTTCGGCGAGTTAAATATTTAACCTCACGGTTAAAGTTCAGGTTTAAATTAAGTCAGAAGTGGCATTTAACCATGAACTTAAAATTTAAGTCAAAACTTTTCGTTCTTTAGTTTTGGACTCTGATTATTAAAACCTTTCAAACCTGGACTGTTGGTCTAACAGAATTTAAAAGTTGAAATATCAAAGGTCTACAACACACTGCAATATAAACTGTGCATTCTCTTACTCAACAAAGTAACAGTATTTTACCCCTTTGGAATTAAAGCTAGAGAGGCTGCAGTACAATATAAAGTACGTAATTGTCTGTTATGTAAAATCAAAGGTCAGGAAAAATCTTTATAATTAGCAAAAATTATTTCTTTACTTTTGAATATAAACTCAAGCTTTGTTCTGATTTTATTAGGAATGCAGTAAAATTACAAATTATCTTCAAAGCATCGTTTTGCAAAGGTAATGTTCCGAGCAGCTGATAGGGTTATCTTCATAAACTCAGTTTTATCTATCTCTCCTAGTTCCAGCTTCAGCTTTGCTAGCTTCATCATTATCTACAAAAACATTATGGTATTTATTATTGTACTAGTTTTTTAAGGTGTTTTCGTCCAATTTCTATGTATTTCAACTTTTACGTGTGGCATCTTCTCTTTGTACAATTTAATCCTAAAGAGGCTGAGGGGCGTTTTTTTGCCCTAGCACTCTCATTTTTGACACTATTACCGTGAAATTTGTTTGATTCTTAATGATTCCCTAGCACTTAAACTACAAAAGTTATCGATTTTTGTTTTCAATGAGCTGGCCTTGAAAAATTGGGCTGTGAACATGCATTTCAACCCTATACCTATTAACAAGCCTTTTTCTAAGGCGGGACGCATAGATTCTGACCCCCTAGCCTTTGTAGGGTTAAAACAAAAACAAACAACAAATTTCGAAGAATTGACAATATTTTTTCGCGCATTTTTCAAATTATACTTTTAAATTTCCAGCATCCATAAACCATCCCTGGAGTCATGTGAGGTCCCACACAATAATTTTTATAGATTTTTAGAAATGATCTACAGAAATACAGATTTAATTTTAACTTAAAATTTGTTGTTTCAAATATTTTATAACAATTTAGGTTTCCGATGTTTAAAAATTATGTTTGTTTTCAATTTTACTAAATTACAATAAAAATCAAATATATTTCCTAGTTAACTGCTTTTACAGAAGTGTTAAAAACATGAAAGATTTAAAACTTTAGTTTCATGCAAAGAGCTTTGTAATGCAAAGTAAGCATTGGGATTTATACGCAAAACCAGACGCCTCAATTGGGTTTAATAAGAAGCCATATAATGTCGTCTTTTTAAGACTCTTAAGGCATTTCCATCACTAAAAACTAACGTTTTTTTACGTGTCGTTAGAAATGCATAACTTTATTATCTTTTTAGATAAAATTTAATTGGTCAAAAAAAGTTGGCTACTTAAAACAAATTTAGAAGTTTATAACCGTGTCGTTATTTTCCCACCATTTTTAGCACCTTGTTTATTGTTTGAATTACAAACCAATACTGCAGCCAATGACGTCATATAAAAGTGTACAGAGCGTACACAGTACACACTGTTAGAATACATTCCTAGTGCCCTATCTTCTCAAAGTGATTACTGTCTTTGGTTTCATGTATTACATTTTAATGAGTAATGTTTAAAATATCCCTTTTGTTGATAGGAGAGAGTTATCACGGATTATTACCTGGTTGAGAACTTTCATATTTTCTCCAAGGTTCAGAGTGAGTCCAGGTTCAATTATCTTCCTTTAAAGAAATTGTATTTTTTGGAAAATAAACCTCTTTAGACTTTTATTTTTTATTTTATTATCAAAATGGACAAAACTTTTTTTCTGGGGCCTCAAATTACTAGGGTCAGGTTGTCTAAATCACATTTTCCGGGACAAACAAATTTTAAGGAGAATAAATCATTTTCTTGAGGAAAAAGTTGGGGTTTTCTAGTATTATGTGTGTATTATGTATTTATTATGTGTTTATTATGTGTTTATTCTGTGTTTATTATGTGTTTATTATGTGTTTATTATGTGGTTATTATGTGTTTATTATGTGTTTATTATGTGTTTATTATGTGTTTATTATGTGGTTATTATGTGTTTATTATGTGTTTATTATGTCTTTATTATGTGTTTATTATGTGTTATTATGGCATTAAAGCTTGGAGAAAATTTGTAGCAATCCGTTATTCAATAAATCTGGTCCGACTCCCAGGGTTTAAACAAAGACCAAAGCGTTTATTTGTTGTTGCTTAAGGACTCCAAAAATGATTTTACTCTATATGTTAAAAGTTTATTTTTAACTGTAAAAACGTCTTACATGTACACTGTACAAGGTTGCCAACACAGGATTACGATTTAATGACTAAATAAACTATTTAGATTTTACGATCGGAAGGATTTTGTCTTCTTTCTGCCTTAAATATAGTCTTTTAAATTTAAATTTAAATTTAAATCTCTAACAATAAAAATTCTTGTAGTTATAATTGTAGGGAACCAATGATAAAGTACAGGGGTTTCCTTTATAGTTGTAGGGAACCAAGGATATAGTAAAGGGGTTTCCTTTGTAGTTGTTGGGAACCAATGATAAAGTACAGGGGTTTCCTTTATAGTTGTAGGGAACCAAGGATATAGTAAAGGGGTTTCCTTTGTAGTTGTAGGGAACCAGGGATATAGTACAGGGGTTTCCTTCGTAGTTGTAGGGAACCAAGGATAAAGTACAGGGCTTTCCTTCGTAGTTGTATTGTACCTAGGATATAGTACAGGGGTTTCCTTCGTAGTTGTAGTGTACCTAGGATATAGTACAGGGGTTTCCTTTGTAGTTGTAGAAAACAAAGGATATAGTACAGGGGTTTTCTTCGTAATTGTAGAAAACAAAGTATAAAGTACAGGGGTTTCTTTTGTGGGTAACCATGCATTTATTCTTTAATAAATTTTCGTAAGGAAAGTAAACAAATTTTTTTTTACCTAATATTAATAATTTCAGAAACATATCTGAGTCCAGTTTCTAGATCTTTCTTCTCAGAGCAATCAAACTTCAACCATTTCTCCTTTATAACACAATATCATTTATGCAAATTGATATCAGATACATTATACTTTACGTTACCAATTACAAAGATTTTAAAGGGACAGACCGGCTATGTTAGGCAGTTAAACTCAGTATGCAGTGCTGTGGACAAATTCTTTAGGATTCAATTGAGACATATAACATTTTTAAAAGATCTGTAAGTAAATATTGAGTTTGAGCGCAAAGTCGACGTTCAAAATCGTACTTTTGGGTGGATACTTTACAGAATTGTTTTTTAAAGTTATTAAATTATGACGACAAAAAATGTAAACAAAATTCTACAGAGAACTAATTAGTTGTTTAGGAACAGGTTGAGAAAATTAGGATTAACTCTTACTCTTTCCATAATCTCTTTTTAATCACAAAGATTTTCTGGAATTTTTATTAAAAAGACGACATTTGAAGAATTTGAAAAAATCTGGGAACAAATTCAAAGAAAAAAAGAAATTCAATATAATGATGAAAAGGAAATAATTAATTCTAATTTCAAATTAAAGCCAAATTTCTGTTGAGAAATATGTTCCTACAAATTAGTTTACTACAGAATTTTTTCTTAATTTTTCGTCTTCGTTATTTAATAATTTTAAAAAAATCGATTCTTAAAACGTACCCACCTAAATTCATGATTTGAACGTCGACTTTGCGCTCAAACTTAGCAATTAGACATCGTGGAAACGTTATATATGTCTCAAAAAAATCCTAAAGAATTTGTCCACAACACTGCATACTCATTTAAACTACCTTACAAAGCCGGTCTGTCCCTTTAAAGACACTTTAAGCGTAATTTCAAGTAAACCAACAAGCAAAGATGGCAATGCCCGGTTAACAATTCGCTACCCTTAAAAGCTTTGTCTGATGAAAGTATAAACTAAAACTCAATGTTTTTAAAAAGTTTTTATTTTGATTTGATTTGAAAGATCTTAAAATGAATTTGTAGTCCAAAGAGCATAAAATACAGCAATTGTGCAGTTTAAATACAAACCCATCTCACTAAGTATTGGAAGTTTTAAGCTACAGGGTGTCCCAATAAACATGGGAATTCAGTGACGAATATGATATCGTCTTTGTTATTAATAAGCATTGTAATACCTAATTTATAAGACCATAATATTATTATGTCTGCTAGAGTTTATTTAATGAAAATAGTAAATGGCAGTAAAGATGTGTCTATAATATCTCCGCAAGATAAACAGTGAAGACGGACAAGTTTACTTTGTATACTGCAATTTTCTTGTTTTAAGTACAACCGTATGCAGTCAAAACATAAACAAACAAAATGTGAACATACCAGAGCGAAAATCTTATGAATTACAGCTTTCTCAGTAGGTATCACTACATTAAATCAAAGAATTATCAAAAAAGACGATATCGAATTCGTCAACGAATTCCCATGTTTATTGGGACACCCTGTATTTGTAAACCAATTTCATCTATAACAGCATTGAATACGAATAAGATTACTTTTACGTCCTTTTCCTTTTCCACAGTTTTGTAGGTCTCACGCGCAAAGTATTTAAAAAAAATATTCTAATAGAAAATGCTGGTAACTTTTAGATTGGCTGAATTAAATAAAAAAGGTTCAACGTTTAAAGTCTAAACGCTTCAATTTAAATCTCAAAAAAACGAAAGTAGAACTTTTCTTTACCTTTAGATAGAGTAGAATAAAATGGTTCGGATGAAGAATAGATAATAATGTTTCGATCATATTCACTGTTTCATCTCTTCCTTCAACACTCTTACTCTGAATAACAGTTCATTTATTGATAATGTTCATTGTCAGAGATTTCACAGAGATCTAGACAGTTCATTCTGAACTCAAGTTCATTTCAAGTACCACAGAGATCTAGACAGTTCACTCTGAACTCCAATTTCATTTCAAGTACCACAGAGATCTAGACAGTTCACTCTGAACTACAGTTCATTTCAAGTACCACAGAGATCTAGACAGTTCATTCTGAACTACAGAGATCTATACAGTTCATTCTGAACTACAGTTCATTTCAAGTACCACAGAGATCTAGACAGTGCATTCTGAACTACAGTTAATTTCAAGTACCACAGAGATCTAGACAGTTCACTCTGAACTTCAGTTCATTTCAAGTACCACAGAGATCTAGACAGTTCACTCTGAACTACAGTTCATTTCAAGTACCACAGAGATCTAGACAGTTCATTCTAAACTACAGTTAATTTCAAGTACCACAGAGATCTAGACAGTTCATTCAGAACTACAGTTCAATTCAAGTACCACGGAGATCTTTAGACAGTTCATTCTAAACTACAGTTCATTTCAAGTAACACAGAAATCTAGACAATTCATTCTGAACTACAGTTTATTTCACAGAGATCTAACCAGTTAATTCTAAACTACAGTTCATTTCAAGTACCACAGAGATCTAGACAGTTCATTCTGAAATCCAGTTCATTTCAAGTACCACAGAGATCTAGACAGTCCATTCTGAACTCCAGTTCATTTCAAGTACCACAGAGATCTAGACACTAGACAGTTCATTCTGAACTACAGTTCATTTCAAGTAACGGGCCAATTTTAAAACAGCTGTAGAGCAAGTTGTGCACTGTACACTGTACACTGTACACCATATATGGTCTGTATGTGTACTGTACAGTGTACAGTACACATACACACCATGTATAAAGCAAAACGAAACAGAACACCAAATTAATTTTCCCAGTGTGGTGACAGAAATTGAGTCTTTGCCAACAACTCTAATTTTCTAATTACTCTATCTTTGAAAGCTGATGGTGTAAACCTTTGACATTTCAAACTTAAATTATTTCAAAGTTTGACAAGTTCTACGACATTGCGTTGAAAAGATGTATGGATTCAAATATCAGAGTTTGTAGATACTTTAGGTTGAATTTTGTATTTTTTTTGCTGCCCTCGACTTTTTCGGTGTACATTTTAAACTACGGTTTAAAGGGAGTAATTGGTAAGATCCTAATCTATTTCTGCGCAAGGACGTGCACAATTTAAATCACTGTGTTGTAGGGTTAAAAATGCATCCCCCCCCCTTCCACACAATTAATAAATGTAGTTGCGTGTATTATTGGCTTTATTTTAAAATCAATTTTATTTTAAGTTGTGTAACAAATATATTTATTTGGTCACAAAATCAAATATTATAATGCCTATATCTTTGCAACCTGATGGTGGAAACCTTTGACATGTCAAACTTAGATTATTTGATCATACTGAATTTATAGTTTAAAATATCTTAGACCTACAACATCGAGTTCCTCAGACATAAATAAAAAAGCCAGAGTTCGTGGCAAAGACTCAATTCCTTTAATGTAAATTTACTATTTTGAATAAAAATTACTAAAAACTGGATAAAGATTTACCAGAGATAATAAACAGTAATTGATCAAATTTATAAACATAAAGAAATTATAAATCAATAATTGATCAATTTTATAAACATAAATCAATAATAAATCAATAGTTGATCAATCTTATAAACATAAAGCAATAATAAATCAATAATTGATCAATCTTATAAACATAAAGCAATAATAAATCAATAATTGATCAATTTTATAAACATAAAGCAATAATAAATCAATAATTGATCAATTTTTATAAACATAAAGCAATAATAACGCAATAATTGATCAATTTTATAAACATAAAGCAATAATAAATAAAGAGCAATGAAAGAGAAGCAATTAATTTCCTACCTTTGTATTAAGAGCCGATGCCAGAGCATGCATAGTATTCCCATCCTTCTCAGCCTAAATTAGGATTTGTTTTAGGAAAAGGTTAGGATTAGGATTAGTTTTAAGATTAAGGTTAGAAAAAGAATTAAAAATTGTTCTAAGAATAATATTAAGATAAAGATAAGAATTAGATTTAGGATTAAGGTTAGGAAAAGAATTAAAAATTAATTAGATTTTAGGATTAAGGTTAGGAAAAGAATTAAAAATTGTTCAAGAATAATATTAAGATAAAGATCAAAATTAGATTTTAGGATTAAGATTAAGTTTTAGAATCACAACTAGTTTTAAGGATGAGGACTTGTTCTTAGGAATTACTTATAGATTAGTTTTAGGATTAGGATGATTTAAAGGATAAGGATTAGTTTAGGATTAGGATGATTTAAAGGATAAGGATTAGTTTTAAGATTAAAATAAGTTTTTGAATTAGAATTATTCGCTTGATCTAGCTAAGAAAAAAGGTTTTATGAGAAACATTACATTAAAATTCACATTTTACCTAAAAAGCTATAAAAACAAGCTTTGAAATGATTAAAAAATTGAAATCTAAAAACCTTGCAACCACTGCAGACCCAGGAACAGCTGTTATCTAAGGAATCCTGTGACATTGTTTTCCCGTCAAACTTGAAAATACTTTTAAGAATTATCCTACAATGAGAAACAGAGAACTGCGGAATTAGAAGACGACTTAGATGCTAAAGTTATGATTTAAATTAGTTTAATGAGACACAGCTATTGGACAGTGTACACACACCTTTTCCCTCAATCAATTTTATTTAAAATAACTGCAGCAAAACTAATTGCGTTATAGCAATATAAAATCAAATCGAATATCATTTTAATGTCGTCTTCCTATTCCAGTTTTCTAGTACTTTCTGCCGCCATCTTGTAGTCTTTATTATCTTTCACTGTTGTGGGTACACAAATATTTAAGTAAAAATATCAAATAAACAATAATGGGAAGAAAATAAAAAATTATTAAAAGGTTATTTAGAGATAAAAGATTTAAAAAAAAATCATTTATATTTTTGGTTTTGATAAAAAAAAACATTCTTCTATGCATTAAAGCAGAAACCTAGTTCTGTCCACTACACTAGCATAAACAAATGCCACGTCAAAAGTTACGTGGAGTTAACATCTTCTGTCCATTTTTATTTGTGGTTTGAACCTTTCATCGCATCACCATTTTTAGATATAAAAACATGTCCCTTAGGTAGTAGATAATCTGAGCATTCTCTACACTTTACTCCACTGTAATAACAACCATTCATAAAATATTATGCTTTAGATTAGAAAATATTTTTATTTCTTTTTTTTCTTGCTACTTTTGAAATATTTAATCATTTGATTTTTTGGGTTGCACATTTGATTTATTCATAAATTATCGATGTAGATTGATTGGTTGATTGAAATAATTGATTATTTTGTGATTAGTTGACTGTTCCCTAAGATATGTTCCGAGTTCTGTTGGATCTGAACAAAGTTGACATGTGCAGCAGAAATACCACAACTCTTGGATATATCTCCTTCTTAGTACTCCTCCTACTCCTAGAATATCCTATATATATCTCCTTCTTAGTACTTCTCCTACTCCTAGAATATCCTAGATATATCTCCTTATTAGTAATCCTCCAACTCCTAGAATATCCTAGATATATATCCTTCTTAGTACCCCTCCTACTCCTAGAATATCCTAGATATATCTCCTTCTTAGTACTCCTCCTACTCCTAGAATATCCTAGATATATATCCCTCTAGTACTCCTCCTACTCCAAGAATATCCTAGATATATATCCTTCTTAGTACTCCTCCTACTCCTAGAATATCCTAGATATATCTCTTTCTTAGTACCCCTCCTACTCCTAGAATATCCTGGATATATCCTTCTTAGTACTCCCCTACTCCTAGAATATCCTAGATATATATCCTTCTTAGTACTCCTCCTACTCCTAGAATATCCTAGATATATCTCCTATTTAGTACTCCTCCTACTCCTAGAATATCCTAGGTATATCTCCTTCTTAGCACCTCTTCTTCTCCTAGAATATCCTAGATATATATCCTTATTAGTACTCCTCTTACTCCTAGAATATCCTAGATATATATCCTTCTTAGTACTCCTCCTACTCCTAGAATATCCTAGATATATATCCTTCTGAGTACTCCTCCTACTCCTAGAATATCCTAGATATATCTACTAGTACTACTCCTACTCCTAGAATATCCTATGTATATCTCCTTCTTAGTACTCCTCCTACTCCTAGAATATCCTAGATATATCTCTTTCTTAGTACCCCTCCTACTACTATAATATCCTAGATACATCTCCTTCTTAGTACTCCTCCTACTCCTAGAATATCCTAGATATATCTCCTAGTACTTCTCCTACTCCTAGAATATCCTAGATATATCTCCTAGTACTACTCCTACTCCTAGAATATCCTAGATATATCTCCTTCTTAGTACTCCTCCTACTCCTAGAATATCCTAGATATGTCTCATTCTTATTACTCCTCCTATTCCTAGAAAAATCCTAGATATATCTCCTAGTACTACTCCTACTCCTAGAATATCCAGAATATATCACCAATTAGTCCTCTTACTCCTAAAATATCCTATATATATCTCCTAGTACTACTCCTACTCCAAGAATATCCTAGATATATCTCCAATTAGTCCTCTTACTTCTAAAATATCCTATATAAATCTCCTAGTACTACTCCTACTCCTAGAATATCCTAGATATATCTTCTAGTACTACTCCTACTCCTAGAATATCCTAGATATATCTCCTAGTATTACTCCTATTCCTCCAGAATATATCTCCAATTAGTTTTCTTACTCCTAAAATATCCTATAATATCTAGATATCTCCTAATACTCCTCCTTATTCTATAATATCCAGGATATATCTCCTAGTACTCCTCCTACTCCTAGAGTATCCTAGATATATCTCCTAGATATTCATCCTACTCCTAGAACATCCTGGATTTATCTCCTAGTACTCCTCTTATTCCAAGAATATCCTTCTTCTCCTAGAGTTAAGATTATCCAGGATATATCTTCTTGTTAGTACTCCTCCTACTCCTAGAATATCCTGAAAATATATCCTAGTACTTCTCCTACTCCTATATTCTAGAGTATATCCAGGATATTTCTCCTATAGTATCCAGGATATATGTTCTAGAGTATCCAGGATAAATCTCCTAGAGTATTCAGGAGATTTCTCTCCTGGGGTATCCAGTGTATATATCCTAGAGTATCCAGGAGATATATCTCCTGGGGTATCTAGGATATATATCCTAAAGTATCCAGGAGATATATCTCTACCTGGTTCCATATAGCTGATTGTAATCTCTTCTCCTGGCTGAATATCAACCTGAGCCCGAACAAGAACTTTTTCACCTGAAATATATTATCATTCTTTTCTTTTTCTCAGTAATAATACATATTAAAGAATGTTAAAAATATTTTTAATGTTCTTTTTGAAATATTTTTAATATTTTTTTAATATTCTGTAGAGGGACACAGTCACAGACATTAAATGTTAAGCTCATTTCGAGATGAAATACAGGTTGAGACTTCAGAGAGACTTAGAGTTTGCGGTCATCATTAATTTCTCATCCGCTGTGGATAAACCTGTATGTTAAAAGTTAGAGTTACCCTGATGAAGGAAGAATCTCGAATTACTGACACAAGAATGGGAGAGAAAGGAAAATGTTGGAAAAATCCATCGGCCATTTCTGAAAATAGATCTTAAACTTTTTGATAAAATTTTTTTATGATGGACTATCTGAAACTTTTGAATTTGTAAAAGTAATTTCAAGTGACCCTCCATGCAAAGATATCAATGTCCGATTTACAACATACTCCCCTTATAAAAGCTTTGTCTGATCAAGTATGAAGTAGACATCCATGTTTTTGTGTATTTTTTCATTTGTGGTCAGACAGAAAAAAGGAAAATATTATTTTTATTCAGATTAAGGTTTCAATGGTACAGGTGTATATCAGGCATTGCTGTTTTTTCTTGGAGGGTCACTTTAAATTACACTTTGTAATCCCTTTAATTGCTTATTAATTAACCTGTGTGGCATAGATACAGCATTTGTACAGAATATCCCTACCCCCCGTACACCAGAGTAGGGTAGATCATCAACCTCAGATATAAGTTCAAGACCTGGACCCCAGTTCAACTCAAAGTTTGAATCCTTGATTATATCATCAGCATGATCCATCAGGAAGTCCAGCTGATCTCGTTTCGTTGGATCCTTGGCTAGCAGGGAGATACGGAGAGAAAATATTCCTGCAAACTCAGGGCACACGTCTAAACAAGAACAAGGTTTTTAACTAGTAATTGCTTGGAATATTAATTGGTAAAAAGAAGATAACAAAGTTATTAAAAACTACAATTTTCCAGCAAAATACAGAAGGAACCTTAAACTACGTCGAACTAAGTCGACATTGAATATATTATTTGTATTTAAGATATTGCTAAAAAGTAAGTAAGTTTACCCGTAGCTTGAAAATCAACCTATCAAGTGAAAAGTTTAAAAAATTTGTTAGAAATTCACTTTTTTTCAATATTGTTAATTTCTGTTATTCAAAATCATTTTCAAAGCTCACACAGCTAAATCTGACATCACCACATCTGATTTTTGTTTATATTTCTCCCAGAATCTGCAGTACTCATTTATCTTGTAAACAGAGATATTGTGGTCAATTGGCTTTGTTGTTTATACCTGAAGAAAATACAGGAACAGTTTTGAGCCTGCTAAGTGTAGAGCACTCGATTGAATGCCACAGTCCTGATTGACAAGTTTCTCCGCAAACCGGCCATTTGCATAGCGTACACGTGGCACCATCAGCTTCTTTCCAGGGGGATAGGCAATCAAGACAAGTGGGGGGTGTTTTGTTCCCGGGACCTTGAACCAGGGGCGTATCAACTAAAACAACCTCGCCTGCCTATAAAACACTTTCTTCTATATTTTCTATGGATATTTCATTTAAATCTTGAAATGTTTTGAACATGTTTTTGCAACCTTTTTAAATACTCTCACATTCTTATGAAAAATCAAAATCTTATATATCCATGGAACGACTTTCAAAATTAATTTGACCATTTTTATGAAGAAAAAACCAATTTCAATAACTTATAAAAGAGTTTTGCGGCCGAACATATTTTTATTTAGTATATNATATATTTTCTTGTACCGGATATATTTTTAATTTGATATATTTTCTTGTACCGGATATATTTTTAATTTGATATATTTTCTTGTACCGGATATATTTTTAATTTGATATATTTTCTTGTACCGGATATATTTTTATTTAATATATTTTGTTGTCGGTCGGATATATTTGTCAGGAGACATTTTGCATGAGTGCTCCAAATTTCAGACATTCAAGTGATTTAAAATAAAACTTTCTTTGTATGATTTCTGCTTTAATTCAAACCTTTATTTGTTGAGTTGCTACCAATGTTCTTCCCTTCCCTTCCTGAATCTCTACTCGAAACTTTCTACATGAAGACCCTTTAAAAATGGAGGTAATTTACGGTTTTTTTAAAAATATATAATAAGTTAGGTCATTCATATACACCAAAGAGCTTTGTAATATAAAGAGTAGGCATTGGGATTTATACGCAAAACCAGACGCCCTAATTGGGTTCAATAAGAAACCATAGAATGTCGTCGTTTCTATAATTTAAAAAGATTTTAGGACCTTTAAAGCATTTCCATCACCAAAAACTTGTGTTTTTACGTAATTTTCCGATAGAAATGCTTAACTTTATTACCTTTATATATAAACTTTATCTTAAACTATATTGTAATGTACATGGTTAAAATAAATATGGCTACTTAAAACCAAGGTTTTTTCGGGCCTTCCTCACGTTACTGGCCTAGAATTCTGCTCTAGACTTTTACAAAACTATACTTATTGACATCTAACAAATTTTGTTTTAAAATATGTGGTATCTTTCATATTAATGAGATGCGTAACAAAATCACAATTTTAGCTTTATTTTAGCAGGAGAGCATCCTATCCTATAAATGATTAAAACAAATTTATAAGTTTATAGCCGTGTCGTTATTTTCCTACCATGTTTAACAACTACATGAATGAAATTATTTAGTAACTGACGTTCTAATGTTGATTGTTTGAATTTAAAACCAATACTGCAGCCAATGACGTCATATCTATAAAGTGTTCAGAGCGTACACACTATTCGGATAAATTCTAATGCCCTATCTTCTACTATTCTACCGTCTTTGATATACACTTTACAATGAAACCCACAACTTTTGAAACTTTCCTTCTTACAAAATGATTTTTTTCTGAATAAATATTCAAAAGAATAATAGAAATTTAAGTATAAATCAAGTTTTACAATGTTCGCAATATGTACTTGTACCTGAAGGTTTATGTACACTATAATGTTGTTCACATGCCTGAACACTGTTACATACAGTACAAAGGCTAGACTCTACCCCGCATAGAAAACATCCTGACATTTTATCTACATTTATTAACAACAGAAATAACCATACACCCCACTCTAAAACTTGCATGATCAGAGCCGGAACAGCATGTTACCGTCCAGCTAGGACTACCAAGTGTAGTGTCGACCCAGCACATTAATGCAACAAATGTAGCCTGGCAAGATCACAAAAATCACGAAACTCTAATGAACATATGGAACGGTATAGTTTTTTGTATATTCTCAAAATAAAAGTACCCAAAGGGGATATCGAGATCAAGATATCGATATTATAAGTATCCAAGTTCCTGCTTGCAGTATTATTATAATTATTATAATATGTTGTTTATATTTAGCTTGCAGTATTATTACAATTATTATAATATGTTGTTGTTTATATTTAGCTTGTAGTATTATTATAATTATTATAATATGTTGTTGTTTATATTTAGCTTGATTCTCATTTAGCAGAGTGCACAATGAACTGAATACAAAAGGAAAGCTAGTAAGCTAGGGGGGTTTGGGTCAACTTGAATAAATGCAACGGATTCCCCATAATCTAGGGAAAGGGAATAAAAAACAGAAGATATGGAGAATTAGAAAGAAACGCGAAAATAGGAAAGAATATTTTTGGTTATTTTCATTCACATTTTTAATTCTAACCTTTCTTTGGGATTATATGAGTTACCACAAAAAAATTTGGCCTTATAATTGATTCAGCTGTTTACACTACATAAATACATACAACAGACAAGCCAAATATTATATATACAAAAAGCTTTCAGGTCGTTCTGGGGTATCGTTTTATCTGTAGCCTCTAATCTCTAACCTCTAACCTCTAACCTCTAACCTCTAACCTTTAACCTCTAACCTCTAACCTCTAACCTCTAACCTCTAACCTCTAACCTCTAACCTCTAACCTCTAACCTCTAACCTCTAACCTCTAACCTCTATAACCTCTAACCTCTAACCTCTAACCTCTAACCTCTAACCTCTAACCTCTAACCTCTAACCTCTAACCTCTAACCTCTAACCTCTAACCTCTAACCTCTAACCTCTAACCTCTAACCTCTAACCTCTAACCTCTAACCTCTAACCTCTAACCTCTAACCTCTAACCTCTAACTTTAACCTCTAATCTCTAGTAACCTCTTTGACTGCTTGACCAAGCCAACTACATTAACTCCCATTGGCCTCTGGTACAATCAAATGACGTGTGGTACTTCCTGCCCGCCGAGTAGTTGACACAGAAGGCAGAAGAAATGGTGCAACTGAAAAGAATTTCAAATTTCTATTTTTTTTTTGTTGCTAATAGCTGAAAAGATGTTTTTTTCATCTATTTAAAATTAAAAACAACAAAAATGTAGCGGATTGTATAATGTAAAGAATGTAGATCTATACATTTATTAAAGGGACTGTAAAGGAAAAATGAAAGCGATATAGGCAGAAACCTTAGAACTTCAGGAGTTGATCAAGACCTATAAGAGTTCTATCTGATGCTCCTGTCTCGAGAAATTGATATAAAACGTTGTCAAAGTTGGTAACCGCCAAAAAAGTTTTTTGAAAAATGTTTTCGGAAAAAAGTCCTGCATTTTGGACAAAAAAGTCCTGTGAAAAAAAGTTATTGAAATAAAAATTCTCTGGAAATAAAGTCCTACCATTTTTAGGCTTTATTTTCCAGGACTTTTTTCTGGCTCCAGTATGATTTTATACAAAAAAGTCCTCGGAGAAAAGTCCTCTTATAGTGAAAAATGCATGGGAACAAAGGATGTTTTCAGCAGTGGAAAAAAGGGATTGATATTAAAAACATCCCTGGTATATTGAATATGCAGATGTATGGAAGAAAACTCCTTTTATGTAAACGTCTCAGACTTGACCTCATTTTGTCTCCAGGACTTTAATCCCTGTGGTTTTGTTTCCTTGCAGCCTCAATATTATTTTAGGAAAAATAGATTCGTCAAAGTTATGCCAAAACATGTGATATAAGATTCGGTTTAATAATCTAAATTTTGATCAGATCATTTTCAGCAAATACGCAACCAATCTAAAAACGACGAGATTCCAGAGGAGCATGAAAAACTCAGGTTTGCTTCTATTATTATTTGAATTTAATTTTTAATAGATATAATTGATAATATATATTGATACGTCCACATCACTTGACCAACACTCCCACCAATGTCAAAGCATTATCATTGTCAATTGTGTCTCCGTAAAGTATTAGAATTTCAAAACCAAGCTAAGAACGTGCCCGTGGGTCTCCTGAGTTCCCCAATCAAAATTTAAGGCAATTCGATCCAGGGGTTCTTTTGTTATGATCGGACAACCAAAAAAACAGACAGACAGAAAAACAGATATAGATTACAAATTTACTAATATACTAATATAGAATATTGTACAATGTAAGTAATATAAGATCCATACATTTATTAAGGTATTTACTAAAATACTAAAATACTGAATATTGTATAATGGAATTGGAAGGATACATATATTCCTTAACTATAGATTTTTGAATGCATTTACTAAGGTACAGAATATTGTATAATTTAGGGAATGTACGTAATTCGATACGTTTATTAATGTATTTACTAAAATACAGAATATTGTATAACTAAAGGAATGTACGTAACAATACATTTATTAATGTATTTACTAAAATACAGTATATTGTATAACTGAAGGAATGTACGTAACAATACATTTATGAATGCATTTACTAAGGTACAGAATATTGTATAACTGAAGTAATGTACGTAACAATACATTTATTAATGTATTTACTAAAATACAGTATATTGTATAACTAAAGGAATGTACGTAACAATACATTTATGAATGTATTTACTAAAATACAGTATATTGTATAAGTAAAGGAATGTACGTAACAATACATTTATTAATGTACTTACTAAATTACAGTATATTGTATAACTAAAGGAATGTACGTAACAATACATCTATTAATGTATTTACTAAAAAATAGAATATTGTATAACTGAAGTAATGTACGTAACAATACATTTATTAATGTACTTACTAAATTACAGTATATTGTATAACTAAAGGAATTCAAGGAGTTTATAATACATTTATTAATGTACGTACTAAAGTATAGAACAGGTTGTAACTAAGTAACTATACATTTATTCATATTTACTAAAGTATGGGACAGGTTGTTTGGAATGCAAGTAATTATACATTTATGCATCACGTGGATTTAACGGTTCTGTCAATATTCCAGAAAGCTGTGACTGTCGATCACAATTTAACCCATTAAACATAATATTTTAGCCTTTTTTCTTAAATACTTTTTGTCGGCATATACATTTTAAAAGGAAAATATAGAATAATAGAATAAACAAATCCGTAGGTTAAAAGATTGTTGAATTATAGACCAAACCCCGTTTTATTTCAAATAGAAGAAACAGAATGCCACTCTGGTTAGTCCGGGGTGACATGTATTTACTGAAGTATATGACAGACCTTGTAAGGAATGTAAGTAACTATACATTTATTAATGTATTTACTAAAGTATGTGACAGACCTTGTAAGGAATGTAAGTAACTATACATTTATTAATGTATTTACTAAAGTATATGACAGACCTTGTAAGGAATGTAAGTAACTATACATTTATTAATGTATTTACTAAAGTAT